TACCTCAATTTAGAGAAAATAAATGTTACTGTGGTAAGTATTTACCTTTTCATGGTTTTATCTGGTTTAGAAACTAGCAATACAGCAGCTCAGGAAAATAAAGAACAAATTATACATACTCTGCAGAAATGAATCAGTATTAGCTTCCAAGCCTGGCAATCAGAGCTGCTGGATTATTTCCCTGCATGAATAGCAACTTCCAGTTTGGATCTCAATTTGCTTTGCTTTGCCCTCAGCCAGTCACAGAGCAGGAACTGAACTGAATAGAAATAGAAAGGGCCCCAAAAGATATTTAATGATCATACACTGTTATTTGGGGACATTTTGTCATTTCACAATGACATTCCTCTACAAACAACCCTCGCTCTCTGTCTTCTCTGTTCTTCTGTTTTTCCAAGTGCAAAATTGATGTTGCAGAGCTGAAGTAATAAATATGGTTTAGAGGAATGAGGTGTGCTGGGGTAATATATGCACACAGCTTTATTGACATGTGAAATGTTTGTTTGAATGATTTCATACTTCCATGGTATGATGAAAATTCACTACAAAAATAGATAAAAAGTCAAGTCAGAGGTTTTTTAGCTGGAGCAAATAAACAAAAGTCTACAATTTACCCTTCCCCTAAAGTTAAACTAACTTCTTCTGCCAACAATAACACAACAGAACTGTATCAACAGAATTATATCAACACTTCTGCTGTTTCAATATTAAGTTCAAGCATCTGTTAACAACTTATTGCTTGTTGTTGTTGTTACTTGGCCAGATTTTTTATCTGTATACAACCTAGTCATGCCAGACTTCACTCTCTTTTCAGTACTTATTTACTTTTCCCACACTCTGCTTCTAATTTTCTCTCTCAACCCACAATAATTTGGCATTTCTTACGGGCCCTTTTGTCAGGGACAGTTTTCTCCTAAGATCCTCTGTCTCTTCACAAATGAGTTTCTTTACCAGAACACTTCTTTCTAGACTGGATGTTATAGCAAGAGAGGGGTGATAGCTGACAAAATAAACATGTGCAGATCAATTCATTCACAAAAGAAAATACAGAAACAGTTTTCTCTTTGCTGAAAATGTGCATTTTAGGGATTAGCAAAACATGGGTGAGTGGCATTGGATAAGTACACTAAGAAATTTTATGGAAATCAGTTTGTTCAGTGTAGGAGTAAAAAAGCGAGGAAGCAAACTAAAAACCTCTTGTAGCTCAATTCTGCTAGTAGGGAGAGGGTTGGTTTTTATATGCTTATCTTGAAGCCAGCAAATAAAAAAGGAGAGGTCATTAATTCCCTTGGAAGACAAGAGCAGGTATATTAAAAGAAGTGTACAATCACCTGGGCCTCAAAAGAGAAACAGTTCCTCAGCACTGTCTGTGCCAAGGCGTTTGCCCAACCTGCCTCTCAGAATTGTCAGGATAAGGATTTTAAGTCCCCCTGGGATATGTGCTATTGCACTGCGTGGGAAATAAAGAAATTATCAAAGCTGCTTCACTTGAAAACACAGCAGCTCCCAAACATTCCAGTTTTTCTGCACCAGCAGAATGTTGCTTGCCTTGGCTGGAAATAGGGAAGGATCTTCCCGAGTTTCCACACCAACACGCCCCAGGACAGCCCCGCACTTGGCCATTTGTGCAGTCCCCGGATGGGTGGCATTGCCGGGATGTCCTGGTCACTGACACCTCCCCGAGGGCTCTGCTGAAATCAATCTTTCCATGCTCTCTTTGCCCTGCTCCTCCAGCAAGGACCGTGAAGCCAAAGCTAAGCCCGAGGCACTCCCAGGCTTCGAGCTCCCTCTGCAGTATTCTGCAAGGACTCATCTTGCCTCGAGAAACCTGAGGATTATTTGGTTGGGAACCAGATCATTCACAGCACTTAAATTTCTGGGAAACTTCCACTGGAATCTGAGCTACTCCAATAAATCATTTCTATTAAGTTTTATTCTGACACAGAAGTGCTTACAATCTGTTAGGCTCACCTAATATTTCCTTTCCCACAAACTGCTTCCAAAGGAAATCACTGGAATAAAGCAATTTATTGCTTGGGGTATTTTCATCAGTGAATGCATCCAAGTCAGGTTCAGACAGAATAAAAGACCCTGCTCAATCACTCTGCCTTCCCATAGGAGTGAGTTTAAAAGCATTTAAGAGTCTTAATTAAACATAGATTTGTGTCTTCAGTTTCACTTTTGTTACTAATTTAGACACCTTTGGAATTACATAAATGTGCAGTGTCACTTTCACACTCAGTGCTGAATCTGGCCACCAGGTTTGGATGAACTCATTAAAACCTCAGTTGATGTTGTTTTCAATTGCATGTCAGGATATAGAGAATAAAGGTATAAATTGTGCTGATTTGGACTTCCCTCTCACAGATTTGTCTCTGAATTTGGCTGGTTGCCATCACCAGGTGCCATATGATTTGGTCCCTGCTGTTTTGTAGAGTTACCTTTGCTGGCAAAATTTAAAAGGAATTTCATTTAACTGGATTTTATACTTCTTATACCATTACAAGGGTTACTCCTGCTTCATTAATTAATGCACACACAGCAAATATATTTCTCCTATTTTGCTAATGACTTTCCCTGAGTTTAAAGTATATTCAGGGCAGCAAAAAAAAAAAAAAAAAAAAAAAAAAAAAAAACCAAAAAAAAAAAAACCACCTCTTGAATCAGGCACCACATCTTGTCCCAGCTCAGATTCACAGTGGCAATTCCTCTCACTCTTTCCTTTACCACAAGACCCTGTAAGAAATTAATTCCCTCCACTCTGCAGCATTTAGGGAATAAGCAAAAATATCTAGTGGGTTTATCTAAGGAGGGCTTGTGCCTGTGGGAGTTTTAGAAATGTTTTTGGGGGTTGGTCTTCACGTTGGCATGAGAGAGTGGAGACTGAGATGAGGAAGATGATACTGTTTGAGTCCATTTATCAGTCAGAAACCTTTCTATGAGAGAACATAGGTCGATGAGCATGCTGTAAGAATAATAAATTAAAGTGTGCTGGATACAACTTGGGAACGGGGTAACTTGGGGAATCAACATGGCAGTGCTCACAGAAGGAACAAGGAAATTTCTGAACTATCTACATGTGCTGAGAAGAAAAGCCAAAAGGCACCTACAAAACAATGGAGTGAACTTGACCTTTCCCATTTAAGAAAAGTTCACAACCTTTCACCTTGTGTAAGAGTCACCTCTAAAATACAGGGACTTAACATTTGCCCTATTTCTTGCCTTTTAAAGGTCAGGAGGTGCTTTGTGTCACAATTAATCTTGGTGAGGAACAAAGGCCAGGCTGCATGTCCTGTGCTTCCAGGGAAAGGCTGGGGGTCTCTGGGGGCAGCAGGGGCACACAGGGAGGGCAGAAAGGAATTCCTGGGCAGCTGTCAGGCAGGGAAGCCATGGGAATGGCATCTCTTTGGGGGCAGGGCTCTGCTGGGGCCTTTCTTGCTCTTGGTGGAGAAAACCATTTATAGAACCATAGAACTGTGGAACAATTACGGTTGGAAAAGATCTCTAAGATTATTGAGTCCAGCCATTAAGCCATCACTGTCAAGTCCTCTACCACATCTCAAAGCACCACATCTGTACATCTTTTAAATCTCTCCTGGGATGGTGACTCCACCACTTCCCCATGGCAGCTTGTTCCAATGCCTGTCCAACCTTTCAGTGAATAAATGTCTCCTAATACCCCACCTAAACCTCCTCTGGTGATTTTCTTCTTGTCCAGCCCCTTTTTCTTGGGAAAAGTGACCAAGTCCCTCCTGTCTCCATGCTCATCTCAGTGAGCCAGAAGGCACCCCCTGAGCTTCCTCATGCCCAGGCTGAACCTTTCATCCTTGTGCTGCTTTTCTTTCCACCTTTAAAACAAACAAACAAAAAAAAAAACAACAACAACAAAAAAAAACAAACACAGTGATTAAGTCTTATGGGGGTAGGTGTTCACAAGAAGTCCAATTATTCAATATTAACCAGGAAATCTGCAGGTGTGGGTTCCTGGATTCAGGAAGGTCATTGAGGGGCTGGAGCATGTCCAGAGAAGGGAATGGATCTGGGAAAGGGTCTGGAGTACCAGGAGAGGCTGAGGGAGCTGGGAAAGGGGCTCAGCCTGGAGAAAAGGAGGCTTGGGGGAACCTTCTGGCTCTGTACAATTCCCTGACAGGAGAAGGCAGCCAGGGAAGGTCAGGCTCTGCTTCCAGGGAACAAGTGGCAGGACAAGAAGACACAGTCAAAGCTGCACCAGGAGAGCTTTAGGTTGGATATTAGGCAGAATTCCTTTGCAGAAAGGGTGATCAGACATTGGAACGGCCTGCCCAGAGGTGGAGTCACCGTTCCTGGAAGAAGTTTCTTCTGATAAGAGGGCAAAAAATTCTTTTTCTCTGAAAGAGGCAGGTGTCCTGTGGCTGCTATCTCGCTGCGAGTCCTTTCTTTAAAAAAAAAAAAAAAAAGTATCCTACATAGCACAGTTTCTATTTTAACATTTTTTATAACCTAAAACTATATTTAACACACTACTTAAGAGAATTAATACAGCATTACTAACACAACATATATAATATTCATTTTAATATTCGCGAAAAACCAAGCATAAAATAATGCATTTTTCACACTGTGATTCAGTGATTCTGTGACTCTGTGATTCTGTGATTCTCTGATTCAGTGCCTCTGCGATTCTGCGACTCTGAGACTCTTTTTCTGTGATTTTGTGACCTGGCCACGGCTGAGGCGCTGAGGCACCGAGGCTCCACCTGAAGCACGACACCGGCCTCACTGAGCTCGGCTCCAGCACACGCTCTGCATTCAGCAGCACCAAAGAAGCCGGTTCGCCTCGGGAGGGGCTCGGGGCAGAGAGTCCCCAACCTCAGCTGAGGCGGCGGCGGCGACAGAGCGCACACCCACCCTCACGGGCGGCGGCGCGGCCGCCATCTTGGGGCGGGAAAGCCGAGGGTCACGTGAGTTCCGGCCGCCGCTCGGGTCCGCTGGGGTCGGTCCCGTCCCGTCCCGTCGGTGTCTCTCCGTGTTCCCGGGAGGTCACCCCGCGCGAACAGTAATGAATTTCCCCTCCAGAGGGCTGGGACACGACGCCGACGTCCCCCCCGTGGGCCGCGGCGCCTTGGATCCTCTCCAGAGCCTGCTGTTCTCCGTTTCCTCAGAGCTGTCGGCCAAGGAGGTGAAGGACCTGACGTTCCTCTGCCGCGACAAAGTCCCGAAGGGAAAGAGTGAGACGGTGCAAGTCGGCCTGGATCTCTTCAGCATCCTGAGGGAGCGGGGGCACATCGCGCCCGACAATCTGGAGTTCCTGAAACAGCTGCTGCGGAAAATCAGCAGGGTCGGCCTGCTGGCACTGGTGGAGCAGTTCGAGCAGGGGGAACTTCAGGCCCCTGAGGATCAGCCAGATGAGCATGAAAAACGTAGGTGGATTATTTTCTACAGAGGGTTTTTTTTTTTTTTAATATAGTTATATCCCCGTGTGAAAAACGCCAGTCACTTGTTTTTAAAATTTTAAAAGTTTAATAGTAATAAAATGGTTTTAAAAATAGTAGTACAATTAGAGTAATAATAATTTGGACAATTTAAATTAGGACAATACGAGAGAATAGAGACGAAGGGTTATGGACAGTCCGGGTACCTTCTTCTGGGCAGCACGAGCCCGAAAAAGGACCCACGTTAACAGAGGATTAACCCTTAAAACAACAGCCTGTTGCATATTCATGCACTTCATGCATGATGCATAAATTCCATTCAAACAGAGGATTCCCTCTAGTCGTCATCAACTTTTTCCTGTGAATCCTAACAGCGCCTTCGAGGCAGGAAAAAGTTTGTTTCTTCTGATAATGGGGCAATAAATTCTATTTCTCTGAAAGATTCAGGTGTCCTGTGGCTGCTATCTCGCTGTGAGTCCTTTCTTTAAAAAAAATATCCTACATAGCACAGTTTCTATTTTAACATTATGTTATAACCTAAAACTGTATTTAACACACTACTAAGAAAATTGATACAGCATTACTTTCTAACACAACACATATAATATTCATTTTCATATTTGCAAAAAGCCAGTCATAAAATACGCATTTTTCACACCTGCATATATCGCTCCCCAGCAACCCCAGTAAACGTGTACACAAATGTCTTTCGGGGTGGAACTTCCCCCTCTCTTTTTTATCTTACTTCTGTCTTTTGGGATTCCAAGTCTATCCAGTGGCTTCTGTAGAAGTCTCAGTATGTGCAGTGCAGCAGGAGTAGTGGCGTTTTGCTGAAATAGAACCAACAACTTCTCAACGTTTTCTGGAGCTTCTTAGTAAATGCATGGCTGACTTGATGTGCTTCTGCTGTTTCAGGTCTCCTGGAGGTAGCTTTTCGTGTCATTCATGACAATGTTGGGAGGGACTGGAAGAAGCTGATGCGAGAACTCGGGCTGCCAGACGTGAAGCTGGACAAGGTGGAGGTGGCCAATCGATACGACCTGGGGGAAATGGTTCTTCAGGGGCTTTGGGAGTGGCAGAAGTGGAAGGGGAAGGATGCAAAGGTGGCTGACTTAATAAAAGCCCTCCAGGGCTGCAACCTGAGATTGGTGGCAGACCTGATTGAAGAGAGGCTCTCACAGGTGAACAGTGGAACCCAATGAAAACAGTGTAAAACTATGAATGAAAAAAGTCAGAGTGCCTTCTTCTCTTCTGCACCAAAATAATTATCACTGGCTGCCACTTATTTATGTGCCTTAATAAGTTAATTTGTGCTCAGGTGAAACAGACATGGAAACAGATTCCTTTCATAGAGCACTTTGTAGTTTGATGCTTATTTCAAGATATTTTAACTTTCACAAGATCTGAACTCCCATTATATAGAAATTCTCATGTTTTTGTTCTGCCACTCACCTGAAAAGATTTGCTTTGCTGCAGACACTTTTCAGATGCATCTCCACTGGAAATACATCCATGGGACACTTCTGAAACAACTGGAATTTAAAATTTCATGGAGATGTTGGATTTTTTTTTTTTATAATGGCCTATTATAAATACAGTGTGAAAGGGAGAAAGAGTAAAGCTTTCAGATGGGTGCTGGCTTTTCTTTTGGAGTAGCAAAAAATAATATCTTAGGAAATTTGTCAGATATATTTGCTCCCCATGAAAGTATATTAAGACAACTGTAACCTCAGAGTGCAGGGCAAGAAGGACACTAAATATTGTGGTGGCTTTCTTGGGAAAAACGTGCCTGGATTTGAAATGGAAGTCAAATGTCTGCACCAAGTGCCGTCAGCATCCTGAAGTTCTCCTGAAACTGCCCAAGAGAAGAAGATGTTCACAGCAGCCTCTTTCCAAAGCTGGGGATGCTTTTCGGCTCCTTGCTGAGCATCCTTCCGTGGCCTCTGTCACAGAGGCTGCTCCTGTGTGCTGGAAAGTGTGAGCCACTCTCAGGGGGAGCAGGATGCACCAGCCTCTGTCAGATGCAGCTCTCAGCTTTCATCTGGAACAGCCTTCAGCCAGTGGCCTTCACACCTGACCTACAGCTGGAGAAACTGCACAATTGCACAGTGGAGGACGTGCAGGGCTGTGGAGACTTCAGAGGGGAGAATCCCATGCTACTATTACTGCTTGAGCAGCTGTAGGATCCTGTGTTTCTGCAAACACCTCCCAAGTGCCTGGCCAGATACTGGAAGAGGTTTTATTGTTGCTGCACCTGTGGGATTTCAGCTCTTTCCAAGCTGTTTTTATGTGGTGCCATTGCTGTGAAGGCCGGGTGTCAGCACATGACCTGTCACTGCTCTGCAGAAATGTTGTAACACTGATCATTTTCAAGTTTTCATTGCACATGGTGCCTTTTGCTCAAATAGTTATGCTTGAATGCTTTATTGTAGTTAGTGGAAACTGTAAGGCATTGTAAGTTCACATGACAGAAAAATCATTTCAGTCAGGGGTTTTTCCCCTTCAGTGATTCTTTTCCACATTCCTAGAAGTGCCCAGGGCCAGGCTGGATGGGACTTGGAGCAACCTGGTCTGGTGGAAAGAGTCATTGGTTGGAACTGGATGATCTTTTAGGTCCCCCCCTGCCCAAACCATTGTGTGCTGATTCTCAATATCTTTCCAGTTTGGTATATTTAATATCACTGGTTGTATCCCAGCAAAGGAATTGCCACCTGTCTGCCTTTTGGGCGAGTTCTTATTCCCTTTACTTGTATCAATTGCCAATTCCTGGCTCCCCAGGAGGAGGTGCTGAGGTGCAGCTGAGTGACAAGCTCAGGTGTTTTGGAGATTTTTGTTTCACAGACATCAGGTGTATCCCTTCTGCAGTATATAAAGGAAAGGATTGCTCCAGCAGCTTTTCCTTCCTGCCTCTGAGCAATCCCTGGGAGCAGAGGAGTACAAGCGAGCAGGATATTAGGTGAGTGCTCAAACAGCTCCAAGTCTGCTGAAGTGCTTTTCTTATCCACTTCTAGTAAGTCTTCTGCTTCACCGAGGAGATTTATGTGAAATAGGAAGAGTATACTGCATACAGCCAGGATATTTTAGGTATCAGTTGGAGTAACCTGTTTGTTGTAGCCAGGCACTCATCAGCCTAGCCCTCACAAGAAATATTCTGCTTCAGGAGGTAAAAACCTTGTTTCTCTAAGGGTTTTGTACATCCTTTTACTGTGTCTGAAGGAAATGATGTAGACTGCACCCATCTGTGCCATACTTCAGGGCCAATTAAGATCGTTTTTATGAGATACTCAAATGTTGATTATGTCCCTTTTTACTGGGGGGAGGGATAAAGGGTGCAATTTGTAAGGGAGTGTTGTCTGATCCAGTTGACAATCTTATTTTCAAATTAAACACCTTGAACTCATATGCATATTTTTTATAACTTGAATTAAGATTTTATATTGTATAATTCTGTGTACATTTCATTAAAAATAATTCTTTAAAAAACCAAAATAAATGGAACGGGTTTTTTTTCTTGTTTGATGGGATTGTTGTCTGCAGTAAGATCTCTGACTGGGAGAAAGTGGATGTTAAGGACACTCTGAAAGCAAGGAGTGGCGCTAAACAGGCATTGTGTTACCTGTGCCCTTATTGGGACATTAAAGACAAAAAGCAAAGTGTTTTGTCATCGAGCTTCTCAGAAGTGTTAATCAGGCTGCAGTTTGCCAGCAGCAATGCTGTCACTCGGGGAGGTGTAAGGAAAAAAGGATTCCCTGGCAGCCCTTGGGAGCCCAGACTCGAGTGCCAGTGTGCCTGGGGCAGAGGCTGCCCCTGGGCAGGCTTCCTTCTCTTCTCCTCTGCTAGCCGTGCTGTGCTAAGGATCTTATATTTGGTTTATAATTAATTAAAAGCCCGGCTTCTGGTTTAGTCTAAGCTTGGCCGAGCTTTTAGAGGACGTGCTCAGAAGGAGCTGACAGAGGCTTGGGTGCTCTGTGGAGTGTCAGCCTGCACTTAAAGCTGCGAGTGAGTAAGGCAAATAACTTAATTGCCCATTTTATCAAATCCTTTAGGATGCTCTGCAAGACTATCTGCCTGTGAGGAATTACTCAAACCTTTTTCCTCTTGGTCTCCTGAGAGTAATCTTTCCTCACAGCCTTGAGAAAACAGCGCATCAAAACATGTGGAGAGTTAAAAGTGCCATCTCATGAGAATTGTCATCTCGGAGAATTGTTTTTCCATGTCACTCCTCAGTCCCTTTCAGCACTTGCTTGTGATTTTTGAAGATATCAATTATAATCACATATTGAGGTGGTTTCCTTTTTTTAAATTGCATTATTTTCATTACTGAGTTAAAAGACGTTTTCTAGACTATTAATTAAAAATCCTCTTACACAAATTGTTTGTTGTGAACATTTCAAATACAATGCTTTGGTTTCCTTTTCTCCATTCTCCACACTCAGGCAGCTGCATTTCCTCCAGCCTTTGTTTCATTCCTAAAATAATTGTCTCCTTTCTGAAATCTAATTGCTTCATTTAATTGTTTAATGCAGAAAGCTTAATAACAGACTGTGTCTCCAAGCTCTCTCTCTGGTGCTCAGCATGTTCTTAATTCAGGCTTTTTGGCTGAGTATTTTTCAATTCAAATTTATTTCTAATCATGCCTTGTGCCCTTCTTCTTCTGCATGAATCACCTGTATCCTTAAAATGTGTTCTAGCACAAATATTTTTCTAAGTTGTCCTTCCTCTTTGATTTTATGGCTTTTCTCTGCCAGGGTTTTGGTTAAAAACATTTGAAAGAAATTAGCTCACTGCTTCAACCACAGAAATAGGAATCGTGGGGGTGAGCTGAGGGTAGGGGAAGGAGTTGAGAGGAGAGGTTCAGGAACTTTTGGAGAATCTGTGTTTCAATAAAAACTGTCACAGCTGGGGATTGCTTCACAGGAGCGGGGTGTGTTGCAATTGTAGGTTCAGGGGAGAAGGAAGCAGGGCTTTACTCAGCTGCTGGGAAAGGCAGAGTCATGCAGCTCTCTCGTGGGAATCTGCTCCTAATCATTAAAAAGTCCCGTCCACAGACCCATTCCTGCTCCTGCCTCATTCCTGAGAGCATTACACATGCCTCTCTTAAAGCAGGCTGAAGTGAAAACAACAGGCTTGTTCTTGTGCAGCGTGATGTAATAGACACCATGGAAATCCCTGAAGCTGGCCATCCTGGTTGGGTTTGAATTCAGTGATTTCTCTGACTTGATGGGTTTTGGGAGCTGAAAGCCTTTTCCAGGGGCTCTGTGTGCTTGTTCCTGCTGGATGGTGGCTGAGCTCTCCTTTCTCTGGGTTTCTGGTGCTGTGTTGGTGCAGGTCACAGAGCTCCAGGCAGCTCTCACAGTGACCAGCTCCTGCAGGGAAGCGCCGGGGTTTGTGTGTGTTCTCTACTCGATAAAAAATAACAACTCTAAGGGAGCTCTTGAGGCATCTCCAGTACAATGTAAAAAGTGCCACGGAAAGCAGCTTAATGTCAACTTTGTATCTCTGCTGAGTGCTTCAAAAAGCTGTCAGACTGGTATTTTTTATTTACTGTACAATGTTCAAGCCTTGAGAGCAGGTGCTGGTGCTGTGTGAAGCTACACGGACATAAAACTGGACCATTGTCATGGCAGATGTAAAAAACACCCAACTGGGATTTTCTGTGAGTGAGCCTGGCTTTGGAGAACTTCTACAGAAAGCAGTCATCTTGCCATTAAAAATGCTCACGATTTTTGAAATGATTTCTTCTCTATTTCTTAATTCTGCTAATCCAATTGATCGCAGGAGGAGTATTGACTTTAAAAAAATGACTTGCAGAATTTAATCTGAGCAGTTCTCAGCAGGTGTAACTTCTAAAAGGGTTGTAGCAGCTGTTCTGCAAGCGTGAACATCATCTGTGGCAAAAGGGAAATATAAAGTTTAAATTTCTTTACAAAAGTTGATTTTTGTATGCAAACCTGGCACTAGATTTTACTGACAGTGAGCATATAAATTGTGGGAAAGGTTTGACATAAAAATGAAACTGTAAAACCATTCTTGCCATTAATGTCTGTATGTGAACAACTGAGCTAAATCTTATCTTTGTTTGCCTCCCAGTCATCTCCTGAGAGGTGCTTTCTGTCACTCCCAGGCAAATTGCCAAATTTTGAACAGAAATTGCCCAGAAAATGTGAATTAAAAGGGCGCAGCACTGGCAAGTCTGTGCCTCACATCCCACATTGTTTAATTTATGTTCTGCTCAGCGTAAGCAGAATTTATTCACAGCTTCTTGGCTGTGAAATCCCTAACGTGGGAAAGCCGGGATAGCCTGAATTCCCCCCAAAGCCGGGGTTGCCATGGCAATCCGAGTGCACGGCAGTCCACGGGGCATGTGGCTGCAGCCCTGCTCCTGGCCATCCCTCCCGGCCAGCCCTCAGCGCTGGGAGCTCTCACCAGCTGTGGGATTTGCTGCACTCCCCACTCTGACCACGTCAGGAATCCAAAATGCGAGGGCAGGAATGGAAATGAAACCTCTTGGCGAACTCCCTCAGTTCCACTTCTCCCTGGAGCAAGGCATGTGAGAAAGCAGGGCTAAATTTTATTTTATTTTATTTCATTTTATTTTATTTTATTTTATTTTATCCTCAGCACCAGCTGCTTCCATTTCTATTTCCAGCTGGAATGGTAAAGCTGCAGCTTGTGTGTGCCACTGCATGTTTGTGCATGAAGCAGCTAATATATATGCAGATGAATTAAAACTAATTAAAGTCAGCAAAGTGCACATTTCTAGCTAACGGCTGCATGCAGCTCTGTTACATGGCACCTGATTAAGTTATTCACTGCGGACCTGCTCATCCAATTTTCTGTAAACCATGTTCTACATTTTACCAAAAAAAAAGGGGGAAAAAAACCCCAAAAAACAACTTCATGTGAAAAAACTTTTGTCTGAATCTTCAAATCAGAATGTCAAATTCCACATCTGGCCTGTGAATTTTCAGGGCTATTAAATGTTGAACTGTCTTTTAGAGGACTCTGTTTATGAGGCACTTCACCTCATGCAGTATTTTTTCCCCTGAATTCCTGAAATGTCATTGTTAAAGGTCTCCAGCCCTGACTGACCGAACCTTTTCTCACATGACTCAATGGCTGAGGAAGAATTTAAACCCTTTGTTTTCACATCAGAGCTGAGCAAGAGGCAACCCCACACCCTGGCCTTTGATGGTAAGAGTAATTCTGTGGAGGGGACCCTTTTTTTCCCACCCTGCATCCAGTAAATAAATATCCTGGGGGATAAAGGGGCTTAGGCAAGGTTCCAAATAATCCCTGAGCTTCCCAGGATATGGAACTGATGCCTGTGCTCCCTCCAGCCTCTGAGGTAACTAAAAGCAGCTGGAACATGGCATAAGGTACCCTGATCATGATTTTCTCCCTAGGAATGTCTCCTCCTTCCACCTAATTTGCCTTAAAGTGGGAATGGAGGTGGGAATCCTCATCAGAGATGGAAATCCTCAGCTCTAGAAATTCCTGATTCTTCCCTAATCACTTCCACTGCATAAGATGCTGAGTGGTGTGAAAGGACCAGATCATTTTTCAGCTTGAAAGCCAAAGGCAGGTTTGACTCCTGTGAATTAAGGTTTACAGGGGTGTCTAGACCAACAGTCTCAGAGAAGATGCCATCACACAGCTACTTAACCAAATGTAATGTCAACCAACACCTTTGAAAATCCAGAGTTTGCTTTACACACTATGCTTGTCTCTTTCCTAGGTTAGTATTTCCACTGGTTTATGGTTTGTTACTGTTAGTTTGGATGGAATTTATGTTGAACTGACTTTTTTTGAAGGTGATTTCTTTACTAATGGGTGATTCAAGTAGGCTTGAGGTAGGTCTCATGCCAGAAGGGGCCTCAGCAGCAAGTCTGATGTCTGTTCCTCAGGTCTGGCTTTTGGGGAGCTCAATTTGTTTTGTGAGGGCTGAGAAGTTCCCACAGGCTAATTCAGAGGAATTAGAGAAAGAATTATAGAGAAATCACATTGCAGTTTCTTCTATTTAAAGGGTACCTGGAGTGCCCCATAGGCTTGTCCCATTTTCTCCTTTAAAAGGTTACTTTCATCCCTTATCTCCTTCCCACAAACTCATCCCCCAATTCATCATTGAATGCTGAATAATTCCAACACTCAGGCCTGAGGGAGGACAAACCCTTGGTGGTTTGAAGAGGACTCTGACAGTTCTTGAATCACCCCTGGTTATTCAGCCAGCCTGTTCCAGTGGTTTTTCATGCATTCAAACAAGGTATGCCATCCTCATGTGGGGAAAAATGGGCCCAGATGGAATTGCCATGGTACCTGTAAGCAGCTCAGGGAGTATCCTGGCTCTGCAACATTAGCATGTCAGATGTCACAGCAGCAGTGGCAGCCTCCCGGTTTGGTTATTGGGGTTTTTTCCCCATGCAAAGAGAAGGAATGGGGGAGCT